AGTTTTATGGTGATAGGACTTTGAGAGTCATCAGCATATGGAAAATAATCTCACCAGTCAGATTGAGGTACTCAGAGATATCAGGTGAGAAAAGAGGACTCCTGACATGTAAAGACCAAGCAGAGGAGACAGGCATACAGGAAGAGGGGAAGTTGAGAGAGTGGAGCAGCCTATATCATCATCATCATCGTTAGTGTTATTTAGAAACAGGGTCTCTCTCTGTCACCCAGGTTGGAGTACACTGGCACAATCATGGCTTGTTGCAACCTTGACCTTCTGGGCTCAAGCCATTAGATGTACACCACCAAACCTGGATGATCTTTTTATTTTATTTTTTGTAGAAACAGGGTTTTGCTAGATTGCACAGGCTGTTCTTGAACTCCTGTAATTCTGCCTCAGTCTCCCAAAGCACTGGGATGCCACCATGCCCAGCCTACGTTATTAAATACTGCTAAGAGTTTGTACTAGATGAGGACTAGAATGCAGATGGCGGACTTGGTCACTCAATAATAAGCATGGATGAGTAAGTACAAAGACAGGGCAGATGCCAGATTAGAGACAGCTGGAAAGCTTGTGTACATGAGTGTGAGGTAGTGAAGCAGCAGATAGCTCCTTCTTTGATAAGTTGCTCTACAATGAGGGGAAGAAGAAAGAGGGGCTGGCATTGAAAGAGGGATGAGATCAAGGGAGAAAGTATTTCCATTTTTTTAGGATGGCAAAGACTGGAGCACTTTTTTTTCTTTTTTTCAGACAGAGTCACACTCTGTCACTCAGGCTGGAGTACAATGGTGCTATCTTGACTCACTGCAACCTCCAGCTTCCAGGTTCAAGTAATTCTCCTGCCTCAGCCTCCCAAGTAGCTGGGATTACAGGCATCTGCCACCAGGTGCCTGTAATTTTTTTGGGAGAGATGAGGTTTTGCCATGTTGGCCAGGCTGGTCTCGAACTCCTGACCTCAGGTTATACATTCATCTCAGCCTCCCAGAGTGCTGGGATTACAGGCATGAGCCACTGCACCTGGCCTGACTGGAGCACATTTAAATGCTGATAAGAAAAATATAAGAGGGAGAAGCTGAAGGTAGGAAAGAAAAGGAATCCTCACTAGTGGGAGGATTTTGAACTCCAGCATGGTGTTGAAGGGTGGGGTGGATATAGATGCATGCAGAGAAGAGTGTGGGAGAAGCAGATTTGGGGAAAGTGAAGAGGAGCATTGACCAGAGAAACAACATGGAAGATTTGCCTATAGTATGGAACTCACCAGCTCATTATCATCTGATTTTAACCTGTACTTATGCATTGACAGCTTGGACAGTTTTGTTTTATTTGAGACAGGATATAGTGCAGTGACGCCATCTCAGCTCACTGCAGCATCGCCTCTCAGGTTCAGGTGATTCTCCTTCCTTAGCCTTTGAATGGCTAGGACCACAGCTGTGCACCACCACACCTGGCTGTTTTTTTGTATTTTTAGTAGAGATGGGGTGTCCCCATGTTGCCCAGGCTGGTCTGAAATTCCTAAGCTCAAACGACCCACCCCACTCAGCCTCCCATGGTGCTAAGATTACGGCTATGAGCCACTGCACCCAGCCAACAGATTTTATTTTCCCTAGTCACTTTTTAACCTGTCAGTGTTTTGCTTCCACCACTGTACCAATTTATGAAAGTCAGAGAAATGAAAATAATGAAATGCTGCCTATTTATTTTGCCACTGCCTTTTTTTTTTTTTTTTTTTTTAGACTGAGTCTCATTCTGTCACCCAGACTAGAGTGCAGTGGCACGATCTCGGCTCACTGCAGCCTCTGCCTCCCTGGTTCAAGAGATTCTCCGGCCACGGTCTCCTCAGTAGCTGGGACTATAGATGCACACTACCACCCCTGGCTGATTTTTGTATTTTTAGTAAAGATGGGTTTTCACCATGTTGGCCAGGCTGGTAAGGCTCCTTACCTCAGGTGATCCTGCCAGCTCACCCTCCCAAAGTCCTGGGATTACAGGTGTGAGCCACCGCACCTGGCCAAAAAAAGACTTTGAGAGAAAAATAGAGGGGGCTTTGAAAGGGTAAAACAGGTGACAACCTAAGGTAGACCAAGGGTCTCCCTGAGCGAGGGACCTTTAATCACAGACCCAAGTAGGAGTTTGGTGAAAGGGGGTGTGGAAGATGTTAGTGTCATTTATTGGGTTGAGGACTAGTATAAAAATCTGGTTTGAAGGGAAATAATCATGAATTCCATCTGGGAAACATTGGTTGCCAATGTGCTAAGAAGGGCCTTGTGAGTAAAAATAATTCATTGGCAGACTGAATGGACTAAAAAGTTTGGAAAATATAGAGAGTAGATAGATGGGTTTTTTTTTTTTTTTTT